AGGAAATATGTTCCAATGAGGCCTGAAACAGTGTATAATACCAAACCCATTATATATATATTTTTTCCTATAAATACATAACTTTCCACTTGAAAAAGTATTTTATAGCTTCTCTTTGGCATATCTGGATTACTAGCATCACTACTCTTGTGGTTTGGGGCCATTGTTGAGTAATATAAGGATTACTTGAACACAATCTGATAACCAAAAGGGCTACAACATGAGTAATTGGTTGGTACATATATAGCATAGATACAATGGACAAAATATAGACTACTGTATTTTCTAGTTTTGCTTTTCGGAGTCTTACAATTTTTAAATTCAATTTATCCCTCAGTATTTTATGTTTTAATGTGATTATAAACGGTACTATTGTGTTAATTTCATTTTCTAATCTTTCATTGATAGTGTACAGAAATTGGAGTTGTTAGATTAGCTTTGTATCCTGACACAGCTAATAGTATTTATTATTTCCAGTAGTACATAGGCTTTCCCATATGCACAAACATGTCATCTGCAAATTCAACTTAATGTATTCTTTTCCAATTTTTCTGTCTTCGTTTTCTTGCCTTATTACATTGGTCAGGACATAAAATTCAAGTAATGATAGTGGAAGTTCTTGTCTTGTTCCTAATATTAAGGGGAACACTACTAGCCTTTCACCATTAAGTAAACTCATAGCTATAGACCTTCCTTGAATGACTTATCAAACTAAGGAAGCTGCTTTCTATGCTTTATTTGTTGCGAGATTTTATTATGAGTATTTGAATTTGTCAAATATCTTTTTTACATCTATGGAAAAATCATATAGTTTTATTCTTAATTCTGTTAATGTGGTAAAATGAATTACTGATTTTGAAATCTTAAGCCAAACTTCCATTTTTCTGGTACAAAACAGATGTGCAGTTTGATAATTAGGTGTTGCTCACCTCATAAAATGAGCTACAAAGTGTTCCCTCCTCCTCTGTTTTAGAATATAGTATGTGTAAGATTGTGTTTTTCCCCCCCTTAAGCATTTGAAAGAATTCACCAGTGAAACTATAAGACCCTCAAGTTTTCTTTGTGGGTAAGTGTTTGAAATAAATCTTTCTTCCATTCTACTGGTAATTTGGGTTCTTTCCCCCTCTTTCCACTACTGTTTTATCTTAATCAATCTAGCTAGAAGTTATTAATTTTATAGATCTTTTCAAACAATCACATTTTGGCTTTGTTAATTTTTCCTATAATGTGTATAATATTACATTGGCTTCTGCTTTTACTTGTATTATTTCATCCATTCTACTTATTTTGTGTTTCTTTTTCTAACTTCTTAGAGCAGAACCTTAGGTCATGCACTGTATTAACTTCTTTAGGAATACACGCATTTAATGCTATACCTTTTCTTCTGAGCACTGCCTTAAGCTGCACCAACAAATTTTGTTATATAACATTTTATTATAATTCAAGTTAAAATTCTCTTCGAAATTCTCTTGTGATTTCTTTTTAGAACCATAGGTTATTTGGACATGGGCTTTTAAATTTCCAGAATTTTGGTGTTATTCTAGATATCTTACTGACGTCTCATTTAATTATTTTGTGATTTCAAAACTTCAATATATTGACACTAGTTTTATAAACCAGCATATGGTTCAATCCTGTTGAATGTAACATATGCCCTTGAGAATAATTTATATTCTTTAGTTGTTGGGAATAGAGTTCAATATGTAACAATTAGATCAAGGTAGTTGATGGTTTGTTTAGTTCTAAGTTTTTGTCTAGTTATTCTGGCAACTGCTGAGTTATTCAAATCTATAACTATAATTTGGAATTTATTTTCTTAATTCTATCAATTTTTGCTTCATTTATTTTGAAGCTCTGTTACTAGGTATATACATATTTATTATTGTTCTTCCTGACGTATTGACTCATCATTTTATTATCTAATGTCTGCATATGAGGTTGACTATAGGTATTGGTAAATTTCCAAACTAAGTGTTAATTGAGTTTTTAAAGTTACCTGCAATTTTCTCAAGGATATAATTACTATACAGTGTTTCTAGTTTGAACACTTTGAAAAAACATTCAAACTACTTAAATACTTAAGAGATCTCAATTAGAAACTACTGTAATGATAAAAGGATTTTTCACTTCATGATGGCAGTTTTTAAAGTACTATACCTATTATTAATAAAGATGTTGGCTTCTATTCTCTGTGCTGAATCAATTAAATAAATTCAATTGCAGAATGATCTATCAGTACTTCCAGTAATACTGCCACACCAGTTTCTTTTTAATGGCTCATCAGTCATACGATTGCCATGAAGGTAATGTGAGGAGACTCATTTAGCAACATATTATTACATCATCTTAAGATGAAGTAAGGCTCATCAGGCATTATTAAATTAGCCTGAATTTTGTAGTATGTCAGCAGCATTTTATGTACATTAATAGCAGAATTAATGTTCCTTGGGGGGATTTTGTTGAGGAAAAATGATTTCTAAGTGGTGTTAGATATAATTTTTTAGTCATTATTTATATTTCCTTGTATCATCATTGTATAGTTAAAATTGTTAGGTAATTTGTGAAAAGGTAAGACAAAATGGCAACCAATTAGTTTTTTCTTCTCTGACCCATTATGATAAATACTGTTGGGAATACAGGTACTTCTCTGAATGGGTGTGATACACCTCTTTTAACTCTTGAATTTCCTGACCTTCCTACTTAGGCCTCAAATCAGCTGGTGACGTCCACAATAATTTCTCCTATAAAATGCAGCACAGTCAGACGTAGGTAACAATAATACATAACAAAGCCACCGTTTCTTTCACAGTAAGGAATCCCTTTGCTTGTTTTAAGAGTCCTCATCTTCAGTGAGGGTATTTGTTCTAGCTGCAGTATAATCTTTCTTCCTCTGTGCTGAATTTTGGGCTTCCTCTTTGGGACTCATGCATTGCTTCTACGAATTCATAAACAAATCTTTCCCACACTTGAATATATTTACATCTTCTTAAATTTTGAAATATTATTTTATATTTCATACATCCTAATAACCTTATTTTTTCTTTTCCACACAGGCCTACCTAATCTCTCCAATATGTTATAAACAATTGTTAAACAGCAATCTTGCAGTTTCTTCTTTTTTCATTCTCCTTATATGCTTATACTTAGTGTATACAGAGGAACTGGGTTTCTCAAAGCATAATCCCCAGCCCATGTCAATTAGATCACTTGGGGCACTTGTTAAAAATACAAATTCCCAGGCCCCTCCTGGACCAAACAAGTTAAAATGGAAGGATGGTATGGGGACAGACTAGGAATCTAAGGGATTCTTATTATAAAGTATAGTTACATCATAGTTAAAAACATCAAGCATGAGGTTAGGTTTACCACTTGCTAAATATATGGCCTTAAGCAAATTACTTAATACCATTTACTTATTGGCAAAATGGGTATTGTTAAAAGGATTAAATCTGTTCATGTTGTGGGTTTAGTTAATGCTCAGTGGTAAATGGTAGCAATTGTTATTACAGTGGTATGCACATACATTTAAAATAAATGTGCTTTGTTGTTTTTTAAATCCTCACCTAAGGATATATTGGGGGGGGGGGGGGGGGGGGTTGGGGGCTCTGTAAGTGCCCTGACTGGGGATCAAACCGGAAACCTAGTTGTATAGGCCAACACTACACCAACTGAGCAACCTGGCCAAGGCTAAAATAAATGTTTGGGTTTTTTGATATGCAAATTAAATCTGGTATAAACACACATTAATCCTTAGCAAAAACTGTTAAGATTCATTTTGGCGAAATTGGTGAATTATATAAATAGAGCTTACCACGGTTTTTAACTAAACAGCAATATCTTTGCCAAGAGAGTATTCAAACTTGTTAATATAGGCTTTAACTAAAACTTATTAGATGCAGCTGTAGTTTTTAAAAGCTTGCAATAGCTTTTTTGTCAAGTTTAGCAGTAGTGTGAACATTAGACAAGTGGCTCTCAAAATTTTTCGTCTATTAAAAATAATATTAAGGGCTCAAATAGCTTTTGTTTTGTGGGTTATGTGAACTAAAAACTCTGAAAAATATTCATTTACTTTGTAAAATGTACATGGAAGCAAAAATGCTAATTCTATTTTTCAAATGAGGAAATCAATGCAGAGATGGAATTTAAGGTTAAATGGTATTTCTTATAACTATAGGTCCTAAGTTGTAGAGATCAGAAGTGAACCTAAGTCTTCTGACTCTGAATGGTACAATCATGGGACATGTATGAAATAGAGTAGTATTGTTAGTATGACTTAAAATTTGCTCATATGCCCATGTATGAAATTAGGGTGGATCTGCATGCAGACAGCAGAAAACAAATTGAACATACCCTGCCTTTTCTTTTTAAACTTTTTGGCTTGATTCTGATGGGAATCTGTAGTGAACTGATTTCAGGATTCTCAGTCTAAAGAAATGGGGGAAGAGCTGAGAAGATAACCATTATTTGAAATGAAACATGCTAGGGAATGTGCAAGAACTGAAAAGAAGTTTCCATATAAAGAGACTATAGAAAGTGAAAAATTGTATTAGATGTAGGACTGAAATGAAAGTAATTTCCAATGTTAGTAAGGTTAACATTACTGGGTTTTCAAGCAATCCAGAGCAACTGTATGTTCTTCATGTAATGCATTAGCAGCTTTCTTTTTATGAGGAAATATGTAAAAATCGTTTTCAGAAACGATAAGCATTTTGGAAAGAAGTAGGAAGATAACGGCTATGCTGCTTCCAGTTAAAATGAATATTAGTTTTTAAAATCTGTGATACTAGCGAAAGACTGTCTGGTGAATTGGGGAAGGGAAACCATTCTAAGCAGGGGGAGCACAAGAAAATATGTGTAATTGCCAAAAACCCAACACAGTCACAAATTAAAGGCACAAATAATGGTGAAATAAATTTAATACATTTATTTCTACATCTTCCATTAGAGCCTTTATTTATGTATTAAAATTATCTCACAGCCTTTGTAATAATTACACTTACTTGACAGCCTGGTAATCCAGTGTCTCTGCTGTACAGGGAAAATGAGCCTCTCTCTGATGTTTTTCCTGTAAAACAAAGAAAATAACTTTATATAAAACCCTCATTTGTTGACAGAATTCAACTTCTAGACCATTCATGATAATAATATTGTGGTCTGGAAGTACAGAGAATTAGAAACAAGAATATAAAAATCCAATAAGTAAAATTTTAAGCACTTACTGTCATTCCAGTTAGTTTAACAGTCAAATTCTGACTTTCTACATGTAATAGCATGTATTTTATTAAATGCTTTCTTTTCATTATAAAACATTAAAAAATATTCAAAAGAATGGACATCTATGTAGTCAACAGTATTATACATGTACCCACTTGTGAGAATTATGTTTTCCCTTATTTGCTTCAGATTGAACATTTCTCCCTCTCCTCTTCTCTCTTTCAGAAATTAAAATAGTATTAAGACGGCTCAAATCTCATCCTAGGTTCCAAGGTAACCATTATCATAAAGTTGGTGTATATGATTCCCATGTATATTTTAAACTTTTAAATATATATTCACTCAAACAATATACATTACTGTTTGTGTTTAATAAATTTAAACAGATGAGATCACATGGTATCTAGCCTTTGAAATTTGAATTTTTGTGCAATATTATATTTTTGAGATATATGTTAGCACACACCTAATTCATTCATTGTTGCTGTTATAAAATGTCCCACTATACAAATAAAGTCAGAGTTGGTATATTCTCCTACTGAAAAATAGATTATTCCTACCTTTGTGTTATCATTAAGAGTACTGAAACAAATATCCTTGTACAAGTGTTATACACACACGAGAGTTTCTCCAGAATAGACACAAAGAAATGGAGCTGCTGGATTAAAAGAGGTATACTTTCAACTTTTCCTTACTATTCTCTGAAGTAATCATGCCAATTTATATTCTTCCCAGAAATGTTAAGAATTCCTGTTAGTACTATATCTCCCTTTCAAAAGTCAAATGGCCAAGTGTCAGGAATGGTATGGGCCAGCTCTAGAGGGAGATCAGATGACCCACAGTTCTGACGATTAACAGCAGTGTTCTGACTCATTTGCTTTTTAAAATAATGTAATTTAAGTATGTTCAGGAAAGTGAATCATATATAGAATATCATATAGTTAACTAAACAGTCCTTGACAAACAGACATGTTGCTTAGTAAGATTTCTGCAGGGATCACAGTTTAGTGTTAATAACAAAGAGGACACAATGACATGGCAGAGTAACTCTTGTTCTCCATCCCAAGGCAAAAATAACAACCTAATTCAATCTGACAAGTTACCCAAAATATTTAAAGTTATTGAGGTTACATGAACTTCACCATAATTGTATACTATACTAGTTATTAGCCTATGATTGTACAAAACTGCACAGTTTATTAATTTTAAAAAATTCCACACATAATGGATTGTCAAAATTGTCTACTAATATAGTACATAATAAAAAAAGACTTGGAGACATATGGACTATCATAAAATAAAAATGCAATACATGCCATAGGGCCAACTCATGTAGAAAGCTTACAACTCTAAATTTGACACCTACTGCACTTTAGGCATATCCAACAATTATTGTATCAACAAAGGTATTAGTTATTAGAAAATACATTAATAATTAAATGTACAATTCTGAGCCCATTGGATTACAGCCCATGTCTTAAGAAGCACTATTACTGATGAAGCACATATTCAGATAATGTGATGACAATACAAAAATGCAGATTTATGACAACAGTTAATTAATGTGATCTATTTGCCTCACATTCTCACCATAAATAAGTTCTACATGAAGAATTTTACTTTGAAAAATATACATATGAAATAAAAAGAAAACTATTATAATTGTTTAAGGATATATCCTTTATAACTAAGACTTCTTGTAAGGGTCAGGGGGTTTTGGACACTACTCTTTTACTCTTGGAATCTGACCTCACAAAACTATTAAAAGGATTGTTTGCAATTCTGACACATATCCCTCCCCATGCCTCATCAAAATGGATCAGGAACCCTGCTGGACCAAGAAGATGGCAGAAACTGAAGGGAAAATGCCAACTCAGAAAGACTGACTGAGAGATTACTGGGAAAAAATAAACAATAACTACATTTACAGTTTTGGGGTATTACCTTGTTAATCAAATAAATAAGTTTATGAAGTATTAAAAATAATAAGCAAATCCTTAAGAAAATGCTGCCTTGGAGTACCTCATAAAAATAAATGGTACAGAGAACCAAGATAGCGACATAGGTAAACACCTATACTTGCTGCCTCTCACAACCACATCAAAATTCCAACTAAGAGGCAGAACAACTACCACCAAGAACCGCAGGAAAGCTGGTTGAGTGCAAGTTCCACAACTAGAGAGGTGAAGAAAGCACGTTGAGATTGGTAAGAGGTGCAGAGGCACGGAAAGTGCTGGCACCTGGATGTGCTGCTCTTTTAACAGGGAGGGAGATACAAGCTCCCGCTTGCTCTGAACTCCAGTTCTGGGCAAGACTCTGGGGGACCCAGACACATATGAGGAGAAACTGGACTGTCTGGCATCTGGACAGGAACGCGAGGGCGGCTTTCTCTCAGAGGTGCTTGCAGGGCAATGATCACTGTTCCTGCATGGGGGCGCGGGACTCAGAGACCTGGGGACATTCTGGTGCAGGGCTGACTGGCAGCCACTGCTGATTGCTCCGCCTTGCTGATTCCCAGAGACCCTGTCCCACCCAATTTACAACCCCGCCCAAGCTGTGTGCATCAGCTTTTGCATATGAATGGCCTGTCCTTTCTCCGCCTAAAACCTGTCAAACTGCCGCTGGGTCAGAGAGCCCCAGAGCTTCCAAAAGAAGGCCCAAGGCCTGGCAGCAGCAGCCTGCCTTGCTTCACAGCTGCGCCTCGTCTGGGCACTTCTGAACCCCACACAAAGAGGAGAAATCTGCAGATGTCTCTGTAGCTCCTGCTGGGCGGCCCCAGACAGTGGCTGACCTTGCACATTCTTGGAGATCCAAGAGCCAGTGTACCCAGTGGTCAGAGTGAGACCATACCAGATTACAACTCTTCACATATATAAGAGACACACTCAAGGGGCAGACTCAGTGAGCACCAAAGCCCCCAATGAAGCAAGTCCTGCCCCATAACTCCTGTGTAACAGATCTTCCAGTATAGACAACAGCTGGTCATGACAGCCAATTGGCCTGGAGGTCAATTCCTCCCAGTGACACCAACAGTAATCAAGTCTCAACTACAACAAGACTGTGCTCAGAACCACAAAGGGGTGGATCTAGAGCTCCCGGCTCAGGTGACTGGGAAGGCTGAGCCGCTTGGCCCTATAGGACAACTACTACCCAA